ATCTTTTTCTTACAGTGTTCAGTGAAAATATCGCAATGCATCGCGATATTTCAAGTATCATGATGCATCGTGATAGAATCACATCATGACTTCTTTGCTAATACCCACCCATAGTTGCCACGGTCCTCTCAACTTCAGAAATTTATTTTTGCATTACGCATTAAATTGGTAAATATGCCATATAGTGACACTTAAAAGTATAATGTTCTCGCTCCAAATGATCCTAAAATTTACTTTTATGCCCTGGAAGCTGCAGCTGCTGTAGTGCATGCTGGAAAAGCTGTCAATCTCAAGAATGGACAAGTCTGCTCTGATGCATGCTGGGTAAAGAGGGAGGGGCGAGAGCAACATCTGGGGACTTTGTCTGTTCTCAGTCTGCTTTTCTTGTGAATTGGAACAGTACTAGGGCTGAGGCTGATGACGTTTCACGAGTACACAAGGACATGAGAATGCACAAGTACACATATTGAGAAACAACCTATGCCTCCTGCAAAAAAAACCCAAATCAAACTAAATAAATGAGTATTAAAGTAGATGGGGTTAAATAAACTTTCCAGAGCATCAGTGCATCTGTGAAGTTCTCCTTCAAACCACCACACACCTGTCAGTTTCCTGCCAAGTCCTCCTCAGCCTGTGGATGGGGTTACTCTGCAGCGCGGACACAATGGCGTACAGGGAGGAGAAATTCTTCCTGGCTCTGCATTCCTGTTCAAAGCACACAAAACCGGAGTGAAGAAACGTCTTAACATGCAGTCATGCTGTCAAAGGGAACGCCTACGGATGTGTGTTTGTTTCTATACTGGAGACATTATCAGGAATTAAGTTACACTTTAAGTTTAGTGAGTTCATTTTTGCAACAAGCGCCGGAAGTTGTCTTTTCCCTAAATTGGAGAAATTAGCTGGTTTTGTCATCCTCTACTAGTGATCCTAATGCTTTTTAAAGGTGCATCACTTTATATGCCTTTACAAAAAAAGACCCAAAACATTAGATCATGATAAAATAGGGTTATATACACCAAATGTTGAATTTGATTTGCTTTTTAAATCTCTAAAATGTGAAGTGACTAAGCATCATCAAAACTTCTGAAAAATCTGTTCTTATTTTCATAAAATGATGCCTTTATGGAATACAGGTGCAAGATATGGTGTTGTGCGTCCAGTCCACTGACCTCTGCGACGCTGATCCATTTCTCCAGTAGCCGGGCTCTCTGTTGGGTGCGCAGGTGCGTCGGGCAAAGGCAGGACGCCAACACCGCATTGGCCAGCTTATTGAACTGCCGTATAGTGGCCCGGACAGACCAGCAAACCCCTTCCCTGCCCTTCTTGTCTCTCTGAGACCACAGCGAGCCGAGACAGTGGTACGGCACAAGACGAACAAAGAGCTCCTGAAATACCCGGAAATATGACTCCATTATTTGTAATAAAAATGAAAAGGTTTGTTTTAAAATAGGCTGCTTTGCTGGTCATTGTGTTCTAATGAAAAATAAATCTAACTCACAGTTTCTATCTTTGTGAGCTGCTCTGCAATAAGAGCTGCTGGGAATCCCAGGACGCTGTGAGCTTCAATCTTGGAAGCATCAGGTGGAGAGGTGCTAGAACTGGTTTGATCTGCAGAGAAAAACACAACTGGCTGATTTCATCAGATAATCAAAGTCTGCTGGAGAGATTGATCATTTTTCATGGGTATTTAAGAGAACATGTATATTTGGGTTTTGACTGTAGGAGGTTACTGTTGGTCTATTAAGATATTTTCATAATCTGAAAAAAAAATACTGCACATTTCCTGTAGTCCAGTTTCAAAGTTTTAGCATCATTTGGGTCATTTTATGCATGTTTGTTTTTACTATAAAAGAAGAAAAGCTGAAATCACAGAAACGAAAAGCAGCAAAGTGGAGACGCAGACGATGCAAACACAAAACCCTGGATTCGATTCATGAAGCAGGCCTACCGAAAACTCCAAGTTGTCTAAACCTGAAAATAGGGAAACTCTGGTTTTCCATTTCACACAGTTTCCTCAACTTCTGGCCGTTTCTCAATGTGTGCACTTGTGCGTTCGCATGTGCTCGTGTACTTATGAGATGATTTGTGTTTATTTGACTGTTAATTATTATTCCCCCACTAAATGAAAAAAGTTTGAATTTATTATTATCTAGAGACTATTAATAAGAGGAGGAGAAATGCAGCTTCAGACGAGCTGATTTGTGGTGAAGTCCAAACTTTTCTTTGTTCTTCTCGAGAACATACTTGGCGAGGACACAAGTCCGTACTAACCTGACTCCGCCAGATCAGGAAACCTTCCATTGAAGTAAT